GAAGGCCTGAAGCTGTGGCTCTGGTGCAGTTAATGCTTGCAGGGCAGGAGTAGGTGGAGCACTAAACTTCAGACCTAATCCTGTTTTCTCAAAGGCCAAGCCACGGAAGAGTGGTGGACGCAGCCCACACGTACAGTGGCTGGTTCTGAGATGGGATGTTGAAATGATACTCAGTAGACACCTCGGCCAAAATGGTCCCTGGATCAAGCCTCAGGCATTCCTCAGGGGCAGCTTGGCTTCCATGGGGATTAGCCACAAGGAATATGGAAGAGAGGCAGTAGTAGAAAACCTAGCTGAAATGAACCCTTACATATTTACCTTGAAAGGACCTGTTGACCTGAGTCACCTCTGCAACTTATTTAGTATTTAGACATCACATTGCTTAGATGGGCACTTAGTGGAGGCATTGTCAGATGGAGCCACTGGGATTAATTCCTGTGTCATGCAACTCAAGGGGCATGCCTCATTTTTGTGCCATGCCTCCCCACTCATTTTCTGTGCGAAGAATAAGCACCATGTTCAGCACACACTTATTTTATTAAGTTAATCTTGTGTGGAAAGCTTCTTTAATCCAAATCGCTCAGGATAGAGCAAAATGTTCCCTTAAATAGAACATAACGATAATAACGGTAATGTGGGTAATGAAGGCAGCAGAGTGGAGGAGAGGGGGTTGTGGCTGATTGTAATTAACTGGTTAAATGGAACACAAAAAGACATGTCCACAGTGACTGGGGGGAGGATGTGTTCAGTATGTGGCCCTAGCCAACCCTGGGAGTTGACGGGTAAAGAAATAATGCTGGGATTCTGGCTTTTTTGTGGGGGAAGCAAAATGATGAAGAAAACACAGAGATGAAAGGAACTTTCAAAATAGTTCTCCCCTCACAGTGAACCAGAGAATCCTGTCTAAGGACCTGATAAGGAGCGCAGCTGGAGCTCATCCAGACCTCCTCCTCCCTGTTCTACATAGACACAACTCTCCCGACAAAGACATAAAGACCAAGAGTACACACCTCTCATGTTTCTGCTCTCATAGTCTGGGTTGTACCTCTCAGCTTTCAGGGTACAGTGCAGTAAATACTGGAATTCTACCCTCTCTCACGGAAAGGTCTCCTGACACAACTTGACTCCTCATATCTTGGCTGTATTCAAAACAGCATTCTCGGCCATCGCTCTGAATTGTGTATAAGGAGAGCAGAGTCAACCAACGGTTAGGGGGGAGGGGGGGTCTGAGTTATTTTTCGAGCAGCAATCTTCGACTCAGAGAGAGCACAAGCGAATGGGAGATACCTGTTCACCTCTCTTATCTTGCTGATAGGACACGGACACTACACTCTTCCCCGCCATTGCCTGTCTGAGGGGGCCGTGGAGGAAGACCGGGAGGGACTATTGTTGATGCACTGCTAGACATAGACACACACACACACAGATAAGATACATGATGGAGAATTTAGCATGGGGAGGACATTGTTGGCTTGGTATCCACCAGTACAGAAGAGGCTGGAAATTCTGATGAAAGAAGTAGTATATTTGGACAAGACTTATCATTAAGATAGGTGAAAGGAAACAGGGAGGATGCGTTGAAATTTCCCATCTGTTCTTTAGGCAGTATTATTGCTTTCTCATTAAAGCATCACGAGACCCTGAGAAATCCAAGAGGATTAAAATACTCAGTCACTCTCTGACTATTATAAAATCTGTTGGTTTCTCTCAGTTAAACCAGAATCTAAATCACACTGTTTTGACGCATAGAGATAATTTGGTGTTTGGAGACCCATACAATGAAAAAAAAAATGGTTTCTTTACATATCCACTTCATGAGTTTATGAATGCATTTATGAAGTACATCAGTCTCACAAGTAAAGCAAAGATGTGTGAGAAGATTATTGAAAGAGACAGAATGGAATAACATTTAGGGATGCCATAAGGGAGGGGGTTGCAGAAATCCAAAATCTGCAGAAAGAACTTCAAAATAATGGGAACCTGTTTGAGAACAGGCATCAGTGCACCACAGGCAAAAACAGGCAAATATTGTTGCAACAAAACATTTGCAAATAATGTGAAAATAAGGTCAGACATAGCTAAAAATATATGTATTTAGCATATAGAAAGGTCCAAAACAACAACAAAAATAACAATCCAGTCATTTTAGTGATATAATTTATCCATCACCTGTCATGATTGCAAATAGATTCTGGACAATTTACACCACCAAAACCACAAAAAAAGGCATGGCCTTTAAATGTGAATAAATCATATCTGGATGTTTTCCAGATATGACAAGTAATAACTGTAATTGGGGCTTCAGTCACTGCTGCCCCATTCTGCTCAAATACAGGTGTGGCTACCTCAAGGTCGTTATGACAACAAAGGTGAGTCACATACGATGCTGTGGGCGGAAGAGCTTGACCCAGTTGGCGTTTGTACAGGAATCCTGTTTGGGTACTGCTGAATGCTCACGGTCAGAGCCACCTGTCAATCACAGAACAGGTCTTTGTATGGGGTTTCTAGGATTTACTGAGAAGTTAGGATAGGATTAGGTTACATTTAAGTTGAGCTGAAACCTGACTGCTCGTTTTCTCCACCCCATTGTGCATTGTTGTAACATTTAATTTGGTAAAGTTGTCTAACAAGTTGCCTTAGTTGACAGTCCTCCTCCCACTTCTTTTCTTAAAAGTGAAGCCGATGCATTCTTCATTCTATACTTCATCAGTGTTCTTAAGATATTTAATATATGAATTTTAGTGTGCATGACTCTCTTAGTTACATCTATCTTTACAAGTGTAGACCACATAATGACTGACAAAACATAGCTGTAGAAGAGACCGTTTCAAAATAATGGATTGCAAAAGAAACTTGTATGCAAATGGTCTGGCAAAAAAAGAAATTCTTCTTTCCAAATCATGCTGTCTGAGTGAAACCATGCTGAATTTAACCTGCTGTCCGTAAAATCTTTCAGTGTAGGAGAGGTAGTGAGCAGAACAGTTTTCTCATACCTGGAACTGTAGCGGCCCTGAGCCGGAGTCATTCTTTGTTGGACAGCAGTTAGTGTTTGTGCTGTCACATAATCTTTGACACAACTTTCCACCTAAAAGTGATGAGGCCTCAGATACTTTTGTCCAGACATGTTCACTTCACTATAGGGCTGACTAGCCATCACGCCACACTCAGTGCCATTTTTTCTCCACAGTTCATTTGTAAATCTGATGTTGGAGATATACGTTGAATTTATGATTATGGCTGACTGTCATTACATTTTTGATAGTCAAATGCATGTTATCAGCAATTATCACTGATCACATGACAGTGAAAGAGGCTGGAATGTTGTTTTCTCACATTTCCAGTCCTGGCCCTGGTTTCACACAAACCTCATCATTGTGGTTTACAAAGATAGACACTGGAAACATATGATAAGGCAAAATAAATAAATAAAATAATTCTTAAAATCTATGTAGGAATGGCTTGAGGCGACACTACAATTATAACTTTCTGCATGAAATTATCCACAGTTTGTTCCAATTACCTACAATTGGATCACATGAAAATGACAGAGCGACAGGAAAACAGCTCGCTTCTCTGGCAGTACTAGTAAATAAACATGCATTCAGCAACATGAAAGACATTCCAATTTATTATTGCTCGAAAAAAAGAGCAGACAACCCGTGGCGCCAACCATTTTTACATTTCTGTTTGCTCATTTGGAAGCCTTGTTCTTATTATACCTCTCAAAGGATGAATCAGAATCACAATTGCCAATGTCTTCCTTTTAAACGCTATATGTTAGATCACATAAATAAAGGCAACTTATATAAGCACCTTTACGCTGTGACATGCTTGGTTCTTAATTGCTTTGCTGCAGTGTCAAGGATGTTGACTTATGGTTTGTAGACTAGTGGGAAACAAGGCATTCAGCCATAGTGATTTTGCTAACTTCTCTGTTGAACAGCGAACTATTGTCACATTGGTTGATTTGCAACTCAAAGCCAAGTTAAAGCCCCTGTCTCTGTTAATCCTTAGCAGGTTGTGCAAGATTTGGTAATGGGCTTAGAAGGTCTGAATCTGTTAGCACAGTAAGACAAAGAGCACACCAAGCCATCCACAAAGACTGGAGGTGTCCAGGTCCACTTATTGTGTTAACAAAGCATAATATGAAAATACTGTACCACAGAAATGGGAAAGGGGTTGTTGCTGTGCTTTGAGATCAAAACACAGGGTTCTTTCTCTCACTCTTTCTCTCTCTCTCTCTCTCTCTCTAGGTATAAATGTGGTGTAAACATCTTTGCACAATGTACCTTCCATTTTACATGCTCAGCAGGGGCCTCAACACAGGCTCTGTCTTGTCTTTTTCATGAACAGCACATTGTTTAGACTCAAAGCTAGCAAGCTCAATACTTCACAATAGCGCTAATATAAATCAAGCAAATCTCACCTCATCTTTATTTAAACAGCTTGATCAGCTCAAATCAAGTTCTTAACTTCAAGAACTCAGCTGTATCGAAAACTGTTCGCAGTAATTTAGCATCATCCATGTTGTTAACTTTTAGCTGACTGGCTAATCATCTAGAATGATGCTTATCTTACAACGATTAAAAAAAGAAGAGGTATGTGTCAGATGTGTGGTCTGTATTCCACACAAGGCTTTAGATATCCATTCTCTATCATGCATTCATGGCAGCAAGATGACTAGAATAAATTTCAGTGGGGTTGCACGGCACAGCACTCTAATTACTGTTTCTGTTCCCACACTTCACTTAACTTTATAATTGGCTTGCCTTTTTCGCTGCCATTAATTACACAATTTCATATTCCATTAATGACTCTAAGAAAGAGACACAGCTCACTTTTTCACACTAATTAACAGCTGCTTTGCCACTTTTCTGCACAAATGTGTGAGCAACGTCTCCCTTCTGTACCTCAGATCTTTCTCTCACTAACAAATGTGTTCGATGGATTTATTTACAATATTTCTCATGTTATTTCCTGTTTTCTCTCTCTTTTATCAGCACCCCTACCCTTCAGAAGAACAGAAAAAGCAACTGGCACAAGACACCGGGCTCACTATACTACAAGTGAACAACTGGTAAGTCAATTGTACTTTTGTGTTTACATGCAATCAATAGCTTCGCCCCTGGCAAGCGGCTCTTAATGATTTGAATTAATACACTCCCCTCCCCACCCCCCGCTTTTACTCGCCCCTCCCATCTGTCTCCCACTTATCACCTCATCTCCCATCAAATCAATTCACCCAAAGGGATATTGCTGCCAGGATTTTTCCGACCTTTTTTTTTTGTTCTCTCATTCAAATATGAATCCCTGTGAGAGCAGCTACTCTTGTGCCTATCTGAATCCTCTCAAAACCTGTCTACCCCATACTCACTGTGACACGGGACTCTTTGTCCCCACCTAAACAGCTATTGATTTTGCCATTTCCATTGTTAAAAGTTCCGTAAAGTTTGACAGAACCTCTGCAGGGGTGCTTTTGTTCCCAGAGATGGCTATCAGCACATACTGTTATTAGCCGTGTCTAATGAAGTGCCTGAGATAGGGAGTGAGGAGGTGAAAACTAGCATAGGACAGAATGTTGGATGCAAGAACACAAAGAACAATCTTTGCCACATATTTCTTCTTGCCAGGTGCTCACAATTCTGTTCGCAAACTCACTCTGCTCTTGTTCTCTAAGTGTCAGAGATTTATATAGCCAAGGATCTGATTACATGCTCTAATCCATTTTGCTGAATAAAACGGCCTTGACGTAGGAGCTCCCAGCATGGTATGGGAGAGTTACTTTAAAATTGCATTCCGATACAAATGACTCTTTACAAATTATGAATTACTTCACAAAGGTAATCAGTAGCCTAATCATCCAAATATGAACCATTAAACTACTTTTAGTTACAAGAGAAAAGCAACAGAAGCTAGCCACAATTTTATAGAGCAAGCAAACAAGTATCCATACACTGAAAGCATTTTCCAGCAATTGTCATTGCAGTGATTTTGCAACTGTAAAAATGGTTTGTTTCACTTGAGTGTCATGCCATTTGTATGTGGTAGTTGCAATTATTGTAGAAACTGGCGGTTGTAATGGGTGCAGTCTTACATGTGGATAAGTGTTATGTAATGTTCATCAGTTGTTTGTACTATAGTACTTGTTGATAGTACTATATATTTTTAGTATTCTTGAAAAATTCAAATTCTGCTAACAATCATTGTTTTTGCAAAATGTATTGCTAAACATATTACATTTAACTGTAATGCAATATACCTTTGTATCCTGATTACATAACATTGCTATTCCGTCAGGCTTCTCAAGCTTATTAACAACCAATCCCTTACTATGTACACCAGATGTTAGGAGAGTGAGAGAGATGGGAGATGTATTAAAACCCATTACACAAAGTGTAATTTCTGACAACATAATCCTTACCATTGTTCAGTTCGGTACCTTGGAGACAACCGGTGACTAAGAATGAGGATTCATCTACAAAAGTGGCCTATCAGTGGGACGCAGGCTGACGGACACAAGGGAATCTTGTTGGGGTTATCAATTTGTGTGACCTCACAACAACCCATGGGAGATCAATTCTTTCAGCCATATTAGTTAGTAGAGAACACACAGGCAATTACTTCACACACTGTCTTGTTTTACCCCAGCACTCTGGCTACTGGGCCGACTCATTTTGGAGCAGGGTTTGGTGTATGTTGAAAGACTTGTCATGTTGCCTGTGTTTGTGTGGATGCGGGAGAAAGAGCACTTGTCTGAGTGTGTAAGCGATGAGCAAGAGGTGGTCAGTTTAAGCAGTATTAGCTGCTAAGCCCTGCATACTGGGATCTTGCAGCCCTCTCCCAGATGTGTGTGCATCAGTGCGCATATGTATTCGGATATGTGTGTAAGGGTGCAGATGACATGAAAAATGTGTATGAAAACAGAGAGAGAGAGAGAGAGAGAGAGAGATTATCAGCACATTCGGGGTTAGAGAGTAGGATCTGTTGTTTCATAGGGCCGTGGTTCTGCTTTGTAGGAAGCTCACCATTGGGTGTCTCCATGGCAACCCCTGGTGATGTTACCTCCTGACCTGCTGATTTTTAGAGGCAATTTCCCTAGCTGTGATTCTATTCCTCAGACTAGTCAAAGCACCGGCCCAACATGCAATATTCGTACAAGATTTACAAGATGAATTCCAGCCTTCCACTAGATTTCATTCAAATAGCATGCAGGTCCATATCATTTAACCATATCTCTGTGCAAAATTTTTGTTGATTATAGAACTTAAGGGCGAACATGTGGAAACCACAATGTGACATCAAACAAACAGCTAACAGATGGAGCTAAACAAGAGATCAACCGAAAATGATGGCTTTCTTAAGCCCTGCTCCCGTAGTCTTGTTAACACACATGTACGTGTCCATTATTAATGAGGACTCAGAGAATCCGCGGGCTGAAGATTACATAAAAAATGCTAAAGGCCACACGCGGTGCAGATCACTCATGAATTATTGGCGCTAACATTACGTGAGGGACTGCTGCAAACCTGGGTCCACATATTAACAATCGACCCGCGTGGGTGTGTGCGTTTTTTAGTCAACATGTATTGAGAGTGTCTGAAAACTATTCTTCAAATCTGGATGATATGCAATAGATGTACACTTAGTCACACCCTTATGGACACCCTTACGCACGCATGAGCACAGACGAGCATGCATACGCACCCGCGGATACGCATTAGCACACAGAGACAGCCTAAGACACAGTGAGCGAACATGGCATCAAGGAGGGGATGTGGATCAACTGTGGGATCTATTTTTGGAGGGAGATGTTAGAGCTTTGATAGGGATTGTGTACAACTGCATAATGATGAAAAGGTAGTCAGTCGTTCAACATACAAATGCAAAATTTCATTGAAATAGATTTGATGGGAGAGTAAGAAAAAGGAAAGATGCAGAGAAAGAAAAGTTTTAGCCTTTGACGATAAGAGAAAGCATTCTCAGAACACTCCATAAAGATCAGTGATGTAAAATCAATGGGCGGGTCATCGGGTTTCACGTGTTGCCCGTTCTTCCCTTCCTGGCCGAATTTAATAATCCCTTTAAAGATGCTGTTTAAACCTCAGGGATGGATTGTTTTGTCAATAAGGCGGCTTTTATGAAAGTCTTAAAAGCATGGAGTGAAGTGTGGCGGGGCTACTTTAGAGAAACAGCGTCCACACACCCTGGATCAGGTTTCTGCGCCTGAGAGAAAAAAGGAGCAAGAGCAAAATAAAGAGAGAGAACTGGATGACTGGCATGCTTCACTTCTCTGACAGCCAAGCCCGCCCATGTCAAGAGAAGTTGAAACTTGTTCAAGAAAAGCTCTGGATGATTGCTCTATGTGCTCTTCGTGTGTAGTATCTGGCAACGTTCTTTTAGCTTCGGGGAAAATGTGACCCCTGACCCACCCAGTAGGTATCTTGGAGAGGTGATACACAAGCGTTTTACCTATACGAAAGCAAAATCACAAATGAGATCTATGTGGTGTATCAGTTGTTTCTCCTACACCATAATGAGATTTAAATGGAAAGCAAATGGAGACTTGCTTGAGAATAAAGATTATAGTGCAGTTTATTTTCAAGACAAATGGATAATTATATAAAAAAATAACAAAGAACTACATTAAGTCTGCTGTACTACTATCATAGAGCAACATCTGGGCATTAAAATCTTACACTGGATTCTAGTTTTGGACTGTATGTATGTGAGTATGTGTTTGCTAGATTCATAATTCTGGATGTAGTGTACATGGTAAATTGTTTGCTTAAGCTGAGCATGCGTGCATATGTGTGAGTCTCACTGTTCATGCATGCATACAGTGGGGCAAAAAAGTATTTAGTCAGCCACCAATTGTGCAAGTTCTCCCACTTAAAAAGATGAGAGAGTGAGCGCAACAGCGGCCCAAAGGATGCAAGCAGGTCTGGGTGAGATGAGCCATAGCCCATGTCCTGGAGCGGCCTTCACACAGCCTACCTGTCAAGGTGCTTTAGCGTGAATATCCGTGGCCTTTCAACAAAATACCAACACACCCTGGGGTCAAACCGCCAAACAAAAGACATATTTACACCAGCGAGACACAGGCATGCAGCCCAACCTACACCCTCAAAATCCCTTGCTATATCAGGCAAAAATGGAGACATAGTGGAGAGCTCAGCTCCATGAAGCTGGATGGATATAGGGATTGTTTGCCTTTCTGCACAGTTGGGCTCAGTCTGTTCTCAAGTGTTTGCTAACAATTCTGCCATACTGGAATTTCAGCACTTGCTCAGACCTGATCTCTGTTTTGTGTCAACAGCAGACAAGTTGGAGTGGTTTTTGTGTGTTTGTGTGTGTGTGTGTGTGTGCGTTTAATCATGTGAAGTCGTTTGTAATGTGTGTTGGACTGCGTGTGCATGTGTGTGCACGTGTAAACGAGACTAGCACAGTTAAAATAGTTTCTTTGTCTTGGATAGAATGCGTCTCTATATGTGGAGATATATGTGCATGGATGGCTCTTTGGCAGCAAGTTGTCATAGGATATGTGCGTGTGTGTATGCATGCATTCGTACAGAGTCTGTGAACCATACAAGGGTGCACCCCCCTCTTTCTCTCCCTCTGTCTTACATCACAACAGGCCCCAGGCACTGCCTACATTTTATCTTCCTTTCTCTACTTTTTTATCCTCTCTTTTGTGGGGGAATGTGAACATGACAGACGGAGGGTGGATCGGCACTAGAGCATATTGGTTATGTTTATAAATCTAGGAACAGATTGGACCGCTGATTAGCGAGCCGACCACTGATTAGCTAATGAGCTTTTAGCATTACAGTGATTGCAAGGTCATGCTGAACTTCACCCCTCCAACAACAACAACCACAAAAATAAGCACACTAGTGCGAGTAACACTTCATATATACAGTATATATATATTTTATTTTTCTATAAGCAACGCAAGTAAAATTAATAAATATAAGAAAATGTTCTAGTCAATTTATATATATTTTTTTAAATGTGAAGTGTGTAATTTCTGCTCTGTTAATGTCACCAAATTAAACTACAAAAATAATGAAAATAATG